AAATAATAATTATAATAATAATAATAATAATAATAATAATAATAATAATAATAATAATAATAATAATAATAATAATAATTCAATATATATATATATACACACACACATAAGTGGCCAGCCTGATTTGCAATTTGTAATTATGAAATTGGACGCAAAACATGTTGTAAAATTAACAAACTTTTTATTTTATTATTTATTTTTATTTTTTATAGTATATATTTACTTTTGGGAATTAGTGTTAGTCATTTCCATGCAAAAGGCTGAAATTTTTTTGAAGTGTGTGTCTTATCTATCTTATCATGATAAATTTTGATATTATTGTATAGTAATAATGAATAGATGAATACGTCTATATAATTGAACATTCGGTTGATGAAAAACTCAAGCAAAAGAATACTTTTTGTTTTCTTGTATTTCAATGGACAGAAACCCAAATTTTCCTAATTGAAATATGCTTAATTCTTCTGAAGACGACAGCCCGTCTTCTGTAAATTCTCGCTATAGTCGACACATACCTCTCGCGCTTGGTCAATTTCCTATAATGCAGTTGCAACCCCAATTCCAAAAATTTTTCATATCAACCGATGCCATCTTTTTCCAACCAAGCCCCTGAACAACAATCTCAGTATATGTGGTCAATGGCATCCCAATATAATATCCCAAACTCATTTGGAATTTCTTTTCAACAAAGTAGTTTCATGCCAACAGCGATGAGTATTGGTTCACAAGATGCCGTAAGAGGTACTGCTGGACCAGAAGTTGAAGTCCTTGACAACATTTGTCATAACAAAGAAGTACAAAAAAATAAGGAAGGTAAGGCAAAGAGAGGTGCGGAAGCATCTGCAAAATCGTGGACACAAGACGAAGATGTGTTGCTTTGTCGAGCTTTCTGCACTATCTCGAGTGATCCGATTGTTGGGGCTCAACAGAGTTCAGATGGCTTTTGGAGGTGAATCACCCAATACTACAGTGAAAATAGTCAAGCTCGGGACTTTATTGAAAGATCTATGGAGTCGGCAAAATCTCATTTTTATGCTTTTCGTGGAGATTGCCTAAAATTTAATGCATCAATAAATAGGTTTCGAGCTGACCAGAGGAGTGGCGAAAATGATGCTATTGTGTTGCAAAATGCATTAATGGAGTGGAATAGTGATGGTAAGAGGAAAGGAGCCTTCAAATGGCTCTATTGTTGGGAAATTCTAAAAAATAGTCCTAAGTTTCAAAGGTCATCAACGACAAGTCGGGAAGGAAAAATGTCTAGAATGTTTGAATCGGGAGATCACACATCTGGAACTGCCCAAGATTTGGAGCAGGATTGTGATGATGATGAGAGATATGTGCGTCGCCCAATTGGTCAAAAGGCAGCAAATGCAGGGAAGAGAAAGGTAAAATGTAGCATGAGAAGTAACACTGATCAGAAAGCTGTACGTATGATGGAAGTCTTTGGACATATTAAGGATATACATGAAAAACAACATAATGAACGTAAAAATTTGGTTCGTATGGAGTCTTGGAAGGCCTATCGAGAAATGCTAAAGGAGGACATTTCAACAATGAGTGAAGAAGAATTAGAAGCTCACTACGTGCTTCTTGCTGAACTGAAAGAGGAATTGGGCCTCAATTAAATTTTTAATAATTTTCTAATGATGATTATGTACTGTATTTTTAAGTAATTTGTGTTGTTTTTAATTTTGATATGTACTTGTTTTTTATTATTATGTACTCGTATTGTATTTAATTTAATTGTGTACTCGATTTCTCCTTTGTGTTTATTTTAAAATTTTACCATATTTTATTTTATTTTGTGTACCATATTAAATACAAGTCCATGAAATATATTAGTTATTTATGTGCAAATAAAATTACAACAAAACAAAAGGCAAAAGAAAGGTAGGTATGGGATGGATACTCACGTGCTTCCCACCAAACTTAGTAGATGTTATTTTTTTCTCATTATAAATAGTTGTTTCAAATGTATTCTCAGACATCCACCAAATAATTTCTTTCTTCATCTTATTTGCCTTCTCTTTTGTATTATTTTTTTTCTTTTAAGATGTTTAGGAATACCAATGATAAAGTAGCATATCGTGCTTTCTTAAAAAATATGTTTGATGATTCTCTAGTGCAGGCTGAATTTTCCCTGATGGAGGCTGTGATTAATCAGTTCGAAGAAGCCAAACAATGTGAAAATTCAAGTAGGCGAGAAAGACGAGTAGTACATCGAGGTCGTGATGTCGGACACGCTCTGCTAATAAAAGATAAATATGCTACCGAACCCACCTATCACAAGGGCTTTTTCCGCTGTAGATTTTGTATGTCCAGACGTTTATTTTCTCGTATTGTCGATTCAGTTGAAAATTATTCTGATTATTTTAAGAGCAAAACAGATGCATCTGGTAGACAGGGCTTTTCACCTATTCAGAAGTCTACCGCGGCTATACGCCAACTAGCATACGGAGCACCTGTCGATCAGTATGATGAATACTTACGCATGTCGGAGCAAACGACTAATACAAGTCTTATCGAGTTTTGTCGAGCTGTGTGTTAGGTATTTTCATCTCAATACTTACGCTCACCTAATGTTGCTGACATCCAACGACTACTTTCATTGCACGAGGAAAAGCATGGTTTTTCTGGAATGCTGGGGAGCCTTGATTGTATGCATTGGGAGTGGAAAAATTGTCCTGTTCCTTGGCAAGGCTCGTACACTCGAGGAGATTATGGTGTACCAACGATAATACTTGAAGCGGTAGCCTCACAAGCCTTGTGGATCTGGCATGCCTTTTTTGGACTTGCTGGGTCACGCAATGATATCAATGTATTGCACGAGTCCCCATTATTTAACGATGTCTTACACGGTGTAGCACCTGAGGTAAGTTTTACAGTGAATGGAACCCAATATAATAAAGGATATTATTTAACAAATGGTATCTATCCGGAATGGGCAACGTTTGTCAAGAGCTTCCAGTGCCCAGATGATCCAAAAAGAAAAAAATTCAAGCAACGGCAAGAAGCTGCAAAAAAAGATGTTGAACGTGCTTTTGGGGTGCTCCAGTCAAGATGGGCAATTGTACGTGGCCCGACTCGTTTTTGGTATAAAGAAGATCTTAATGAAATAATATTATCATGTATTATTTTACATAATATGATAATTGAGGACGAGGACGATGATGCAACAAAATGGTCCAATGATGACACTGAGCCTCCAGTCCAAGCACGACAAGGCCATCCAAGAAATTTTCGTCGGTACTTACAAATAAGAGTCGAGATGCAAGATCGAGAAGTCCATCATCAACTTAGGCACGACCATGTTGAACATATTTGGAATGAACCTAATTAACAAGAGTAATCATTTAGTTTATCTATATTTTATTTCATCGTAACTTCCGCGTGCAATAATATGTATTTTTTCTTTATTTCATCGTAACTTTTATCTTGTTTGAGCAATGTGTTGTCGTTCGTTCTACTTTGAAAAATCTCGTTGTTTATTTTTATTTTAAAAACGTACTGAACTTGTTTTATACCATAAAAGTGAACTATTTTTTTATCTATGATTAATTCTAGTTTTATTTTAAATATTAATCTATAATTATAAATATGTGAAACATTTAGATTAAATAAAAATAAAAGTGGAGTTATAGTTTTAAAATATTAGTAAAAAATAAGAGTATAATATTTATTATAAAAATAAATGGAAAACATGTGGGACCCATAAAAATGAGGTTTATTGTTATTGGAGTTTATATGTGTAGAAGTGAGAATAAGGTTTTGAATGATGTTTCATATTGGGAATAGAGAAAGGAGGTTTGTGTAGTTGTATTATAAGAGATGCTCTTAGAGCAACTATAATAAAAGGTTTTCATGAGGTTTGAAAATTTGATTCTCATAGGTTTTCTATTATTTATATAAGGTTTGGGGTTTAGATTTTTAAAATCTATTTGGAATTCCAAACATGTTTCCAAAATTATGTAGAAATTGTATGTACAAATGCATAAAAGGACGTGATGTTCAATTCCTCATCAAATATGTCAATATGATACACGGATGCGTAGGATGAAAAAGGTGTTTGGCCCCACAACAACTTTGTGGTTGTTTGTTCTCCACAATTATTTTAATGACGTTTTTTTCCTTTTTTTTTTTAAAAAAAATATTCCTTCCAATTGAGTTTTTTTTTTATTATTTAATGAGGGCAACTTCGGGTGTTCCGTTGGGCCTCGATAAGCGAGTCGAGCATTAACAAAAAGTGCTTTCGAGAATGCACGAGATGTGTAGAAGCCGTTTGTGGCATCGATTTATTATTTCGAGGTCCCGATCATTTATTTAGAGAAGCTCGAGTTTGAGGTTGCATATTAGTAAAATAAACAAAAATGCCGTTTACGTGGGTCCCGCAAGGTCGCGTTTGACTTCGGTTTACCGAAAATCGAGTTGAGACGTGTATATGATTTAGACACGGTGTTATGCGGGGAATTTATTGAGTATTTCGGAGATCCGATCATTTAACTAGAGAAGCTTGAATTCCCGTGGGAATAGTAGCAAAATGAGCGAATTTTTCGCTATATATTAGCTTATTTAATGAGGCGACTTCCGGTGTTCTGTCGGGCCTCGATAATCGACTCAAGCATCAACGAAAAGTGCTTTCGAGAAAGCAAGAGAAGATGAGAAGCCGTTTGTGGTGTCGATTTATTATTTCGAGGTCCCGATCATTTAATTAGAGAAGCTCGAGTTCGAGGTTGCATATTAGTAAAATAAATAAAAAAGCTGTTTATGTGGGTCCCGCAAGGTTGCATGTGACTTCGGTTTACCGAGAATCAAGTGCAGACGTGTAGATGATTCAGGCACGATGTCATGAGGGACATTTATCGAGTATTTGGTAGTTCCGAGCATTTAACTAGAGAATCATGAATTCCCAAGGAAATAGTAGCAAAATGAGCGAATTTTTCGATATATATTAGCTTATTTAATGAGGCAACTTTCGGTGTTCCGTCGGGCCTCGATAAGCGACTCGATAACGAAAAGTGCTTTCGAGAAAGCACGAGAAGATGAGAAGCCGTTTGTGGTGTCGCTTTATTATTTCGAGGTCCTGATCATTTATTTAGAGAAGCTCGAGTTCGAGGTTGCATATTAGTAAAATAAATAAAAAAGTTAATTACGTGGGTCCCGCAAGGTCGCGTGTGTCTTCAGTTTACCGAGAATCGAGTTGAGACGTGTAGATGATTCAGGCACGATGTCATGCGGGGCATTTATCGAGTATTTCGGAGTTCCAAGCATTTAACTAGAGAAGCTTGAATTCTCGTGGGAATAGTAGCAAAATGAGCGATATTTTCGCTATATATTTTCTTATTTAATAGGCGACTTCTGGTGTTCCGTCGGGCCTCGATAAGCGAGTCGAGCATCAACGAAAAGTGCTTTCGAGAATGCTCGAGAAGATGAGAAGCCGTTTGTGGCGTCGATTTATTATTTCGAGGTCCCGATCATTTATTTAGAGAAGCTCGAGTTCGAGGTGAATAATAATAATAATAATAATAATAATAATAATAATAATAATAATAATAATAATAATTATATATATATATACACACACATAAGTGGCCAGCCTGATTTGCAATTTGTAATTATGAAATTGGACGCAAAACATGTTGTAAAATTAAAAAACTTTTTATTTTATTATTTATTTTTATTTTTTATAGTATATATTTACTTTTGGGAATTAGTGTTAGTCATTTCCATGCAAAAGGCTGAAATTTTTTTGAAGTGTGTGTCTTATCTATCTTATCATGATAAATTTTGATATTATTGTATAGTAATAATGAATAGCTGAATACGTCTATATAATTGAACATTCGGTTGATGAAAAACTCAAGCAAAAGAATACTTTTTGTTTTCTTGTTTTTCAATGGACAGAAACCCAAATTTTCCTAATTGAAATATGCTTAATTCTTCTGAAGACGATAGTCCGTCTTCTGTAAATTCTCGTTATAGTCGAAACATACCTCTCGCGCTTGGTCAATTTCCCATAATGCAGTTGCAACCCCAATTCCAAATTTTTTCATATCAACCGATGCCTTCTTTTTCCAACCAAGCCCCTGAACAACAATCTCAGTATATGTGGTCAATGGCATCCCAATATAATATCCCAAACTCATTTGGCATTCCTTTTCAACAAAGTAGTTTCATGCCAACGGCGATGAGTATTGGTTCACAAGATGCCGTAAGAGGTACTGCTGAACCAGAAGTTGAAGTCCTTGACAACATTTGTCTCAACAATGAAGTACAAAAAAATAAGGAAGGTAAGGCAAAGAGGTGCGAAAGAATCTGCAAAATCGTGGACACAAGACGAAGATGTGTTGCTTTGTCGAGCTTTCTGCACTATCTCGAGTGATCCGATTGTTGGGGCTCAACAGAGTTCAGATGGCTTTTGGAGGTGAATCACCCAATACTACAATGAAAATGGTCAAGCTCGGGACTTTATTGAAAGATCTATGGAGTCGGCAAAATCTCATTTTTATGCTTTTCATGGAGATTGCCTAAAATTTAATGCATCAATAAATAAGTTTCGAGCTGACCAGAGGAGTGGCGAAAATGATGCTATTGTGTTGCAAAATGCATTAATGGAGTGGAATAGTGA